GTTTACTTAGTATAGACCCAGATCCCAACCCAACTTTGAGAATAGATTAACGGCGTCATTTTTTTTTATCGCGCGATAAGAGTCTGGCTTTGCCGCAGCGCGTTAACGCCGATAACGGCCCACCCCTAATATATATATATATAAATGTTGAGGGTCTGACCTCATGAGGAAATTACTGCAGTGATTTTCTCCAGAGACTGTGCTAGAAATTGCTCTGAAAGAGCATATTCCATCATCAGCATCAGAGGCACTTCATTTCCCATGATGCTTTGCATAGGGAAACAATGTGATGACGTCACCGCCAAGGCAGAGCACGGTTCTGTACATGCGCAGAACGAACCACAACAACCAGCTCAAAAACTATACGTTTCAGTGAAAAACAAAACTTAACTGTTCCTTGTCCAGTTCACTGGCTGTGAAGGACAGAGCTCATTGCTGCTGCTCTGATCAACGCGAGCCAGCGGGAGGCTGGCTGCTGGAGCAGATCAAACAAGGAACAATAGCGTAGGCAAAATAGGAAAAGCTCTTATCAAAAACCCGAGTCTAGCAGATCCGCGGGAAAACAAGCTCTCTCTGTGTAACACACACTTCAACTGTCAATCACCAACTCTCACCCTGACAGGAACCCCAAACACTTTTATTTCCCCCCTCCCACATTATGCATTACAATATTTTTTTCATTCTTCCTGATCTGTTACTGTCTCGTCAACTTTTTAACACCCGTTGAGAGGAAAATTCACATCTTTATTTTTGCAGCACAAAAACTGCCTCTCGCCTCTCTTGCAGGCCCATTCTTCTGGTGTGACTTTCTGTGGTTTCCTGTCCCCATCTTCTTTTCCTGTTCTTCTTTACACATGCAGCGTTCACACCTCTTACCTCTTGGGTTCTGTTAGACCCAGTCAGCTTGTTCCACAGAACTGAGTGCAGAGCGGGTGCAGGGCAGAGGCCCACGCACACACTTCAGAGTCAGGAGCGGAAGTGCAGAGTTCACACACATTTCAGGAGCTGGGGCCTGTGTGCAGGAGCGGAATGGCAGGAGGTCAGAGGTTTTCACAGAGATGAGCTTGGCCCAGACTCGAAAATGTGACCACCGAGTCTGCCACAAGTCTCCTCTCAACAGGTAGCAAGAGCCTGAGAGCAATGAGCGATTGTTCAGAGTCAAAAGTCCAGGATAAAGGTACAGACAGATTTCTCATACCCTGTTTGTTCACTAACGCAAGCAAAAGGGGGTCATATCTGCATAATCAGGAATGAACTGACGGTTATAGCCAGTGAGGTCCAAAAAACACAGCATGTCTTTCACCGTGACAGGCAGGGGATGGTGTAAAATGGAGGAGCGGTGGGAGGGAGACATTTCATGACCGGTCCGTGACACGAGGTGGCCCAAAAATGACACCACAGACCTACAACACTAGTTTGTTTTTGGAAACTTTGAACTCAGCCGAAGCGAGCATGGACAGAATGGAGTGAGTGTCTGACAGACAAGTCTGAGCAGGTGTGGAGGCTATTGAAATGTCATCAACATACTGAATCATGACTGTGTCTATAGAAAGTGTGATGTCAGAGAAAATGTGGAAGAGTGAGAAGTGAGTGTTCCCTCATTTGGCTCGCGGTTTGGGTGGCCAAGGTTTCAAGTTCCTTTTTGTTTGGGTCAGTTTAAGTCAACTAGCACTTTTTCCTGCACGAGTGTGGGCGAAACAACCTCTTGATCCTCAATTAGGCCTCCAGTTACCTTAAAGACAGGAGCTTGGAGTCCATGCTCACACACAGCAGAGCTGTCATACCTGTAAGGAGGTGGCAGGGATACAGCGGAGCAGAAGCAATTGAGGGGCCCCCTGTCTGTGTGTGTCTAGCGGCTTCACGGGAACTTCTGCTTAGCTCTCAGCTTTGTGTGTAACGTCAACAGAAGCTGACTGCTGTTGATGTTTTCCCACCGCTAACACCCTCAGAGACAAGTTTTGCGACTGTTGTGATTAAGTGTGCTCATGATATTTCATCATCTAACTCCTGAGGCCTTTTCTTACCCTTTCTCCTTGCCACAAAACTCAGCTTGTCCCCTGCATCCACTCCAACCTGGTTGTGTCTGTCCCTCAGAGCCATTTCAACCTCAAACATAACCCGGCTGCTGGATATGAAATATGTTTCAGTACAACCTTCCTTCCAAAATGACTGAACATTACATTCATTGGGTATTTTCTCACTGTAGAATTTTCACTATATTCTTACATATTGCACCTTTAAACATATATTGTTTGGCTTCACTGACCATTCATCTGAGGAAAAACAGCATTTTTGTGTAATTAATCTGATATTTTACATAGCCAATTGGCATATTTCATTAAGATCAATATACTAATCAAAAACCATTGTTCTCTATATTTGAAAATGATTAAACTATATATGATCCCTCCATTAATGTTAACGCTGTTACAGTTGTTTACACACAATTATTTTTATATCTGGCACAGTGACTACAACATGTAACTGATGTGCCAACTCCCCTAACCAGTTCTGCTAAACTACCAGCACAATCTCTGCTTCACACTTACATTACAGTTTAAAAACACACGTTTGTCAAGGAAATCATGAAAGAAATCTCATTTTCACAACAAACACGCTGCCATTAAAAACTGTAGTCAGCTGCCCTACTTTTCATACCAACTTGTTAAACTGGAAAACACTTTTCACACATAATTACAATTACAGTTATTCACAGTTGTTTACTCACGTTTTTTGAAAGCATGCAATATATTTTTATAACTACACACGAATCCAAAAACACGCACATTCTTCTCAAAATGGTCTTTGGTTTCCAAATGACACGCAAACCATTACATGAGTAAACATTTATAAGAACCAGATTAACTCTGATGTGAAAGACATTATGACCACTTCTTCTCCAGTCATCATAACGACTTATTGTGTTCAGTGTTACACCTACTGTACTACGACAGTGCATTGTACATAAAATATTTCAGAATGTTTGTGTACAAAACTCACAAACACGTTACAAAATATACTTTTGTGTGTTTTAACACAAAAACAGCAGTCTTCATCCAAACCAACACAGAGTTGCCTATGCAGTGGTCTACATATACAAACAGAAGACTATAATTAATAGTTAAGCTAAAACGAATAAAGAAAAAAATAAATAAACAACTGTGCTGCATCTGCTCTTCTGTTTTTATCTGGCCACAGCGCCTCATCCACATCACAAGCAATGTGCTCCCTGGCCAAGCAGAGTAGAATTGAAAACTTGAAGGTTCTCAGGCCAGGTCTGGACCGCCTATTGAGGGACACTGGTATAAAGCAAGAACATTTTTAAGGCAGATGTGACCACAAGTTAAAGATCTGAGTAAAATAATGGCATGGGTTAAGAGTTTTCTCACTCCAGATGTCTTTTCAGCCCTCTTCCCAAGGAGGTCCACCTGGAGCCGAACAGGGAAGACACGCCCACTGCTGACTGACTGGCTAACTCAAAAGCATGCCTACCATTACCAACCCCGATTGGCAGCAAGAATCAGCCTGTGGGAGGCTTCCCGCAAGCGCAATTCATTATCGTTGATGCTGTGTAGTTAACTCGACTCTCACAAAAGCTCAATCCCATTTGCATTCTTAAGGCAAGCTGGCTAAGCTACAAAATGTGATGTCAGCTAATTACTTTTCAGAAGAGTTTTTCTAACAGGAAGTGTGGATGAAATAAGTCTCCACCCATGACTTGAGCACTGTAAGGCATCTATGATATGTTGCCAAACATATTTTAATGAATACAATCTCAAGTGTGAATTTTCAAATCAGAAGGTAAAGAAAATGCCTTAATGAATCTCATAGATTAAATCACTTCTCACCTGTGTGAATTCTCATGTGTCTAGTCAAGTTACCACTGATAGTAAAACATTTACCACAAGTTTTACATGAATATGGCTTCTCACCTGTGTGAGTTCTCATGTGTGTAGTCAAGTGACAACTGTCTCCAAAACATTTACCACAAGTTTTACATGAATATGGCTTCTCACCAGTGTGAGCTCTCATGTGTGTAGTTAATTCACCACTGGTTCTAAAACATTTACCACAAGTTTTACATGGATAAGGCTTCTCACCTGTGTGAGTTCTCATGTGTGTAGTTAATTCACCACTGGTTCTAAAACATTTACCACAAGTTTTACATGGATAAGGCTTCTCACCTGTGTGAGTTCTCATGTGTGTAGTTAATTCACCACTGGTTCTAAAACATTTACCACAAGTTTTACATGGATATGGCTTCTCACCTGTGTGAATTCTCATGTGTGTAGTCAAGTGACCACTGATAGTAAAACATTTACCACAAGTTTTACAAGAATATGGCTTCTGACCTGTGTGACTTCTCATGTGTGTAGTTAATTCACTACTGGTTCTAAAACGTTTACCACAAGTTTTACATAAATATGGCTTCTCACCTGTGTGAGTTCTCATGTGTCTAGTCAAGTGACCACTGATAGTAAAACATTTACCACAAGTTTTACAAGAATATGGCTTCTGACCTGTGTGAGTTCTCATGTGTCTAGTCAAGTGACCACTGATAGTAAAACATTTACCACAAGTTTTACATGGATATGGCTTCTCACCTGTGTGAATTCTCATGTGTGTAGTTAATTCACCACTGGTTCTAAAACATTTACCACAAGTTTTACAAGAATATGGCTTCTCACCTGTGTGAGTTCTCATGTGAATATTTAAATAAGATTTGTGACTGAAAGATTTTCTACATAGCTTACAATAAAATGATCTCCCACCACTGTGAGCCCCTTTGTGCTTTTTTTGTCTTTCACCACCTACACTGTCTCTGTGATCTTTGCTTCGCTGACGCCTTTTATTCAGTTTCAGTTCTTCATTGCCATTTGATTCTGAGTTTTCATTCCTGCATCCACCCTGATCTTGGTTCTCAGGATCTGTAGAACTCTGACACAATGGCTGGTTCCTGTTTGGTTCTGGTTCATGACAGTCTGTTTCTTCAGACAGAGGAGTATCCGTGAAGGTAAGATTTTCCTGGTTCAGGAAGAGCTGTCCTTCATGTTGGCAAAGTTTTAGCTGTTCTGGTTCTTCCTGGTCTGAACAGGAGATCGACTCCTGGTTAAAGAGCTGCTGGGCAGTCAAATCCTTCTCCTTTTCCCAGACATGATGCTGTGGAAGATCTAGACAGGATAAGAGAAAAAAGAAAATGTTGATTAATTTGACAATTAAAAAAACTTTTTTTAATCATCTAATGCATCTAAATATTTTTGGGGAAATTAACGAGCTCTCAGATTAATTTTCATTTTGTGCAAGTAAAAACTAAACACTCAAAACATTTGTTTGTGGTGACAGACAACCTCGCTTCAAAGGAAAAGCAAACAGCAGCTTAATAATCGTCTTAGTTCTTTACTGAAGTTTACAATGAGCGGAGTGGGAGCTGGCCATCTGTTTGGGGTCTGGGGCGATGAGTTGTTTTGCTCAGAGTTGGGTGGGGTGCCTGCTCATCATCACCTCAGCAGAACGGGGCTGATTCTGGCCATGGGATGGTTGTACCGTCTGTGCAGCAGTTCCAAGACCAGAGTGAATAGGGTGTGTATAGGGAGCGTGAGTGGGTGTCTAGCGTTCATTTTTGTAAGTCTCCGGTTGTATGTTTATGTGTGAGCATGAGGGACGGAGTGTGTGACTGTGTTTGTGTATGACTGTTAGAGAAAAAGAGAGGTTAAGTTGTCTGGTTGCCATGGGTGAGTAGATGGTATGTTTTTCTTATTTCTGTAAACAGCACTCTAAACGCATCTTTGTTATCTCAGAATTTGGTATCTCAGAAAAGGATGCTCCAAAAATTCTCAACTCTTAAGGTGCTCGCTCGGGCCATGAGTCGGGGGTGAGACAAATGTTTGTGCAACTTTGTAACTATGCCTATGTGTGAATAAAAATATGCTCCGAAGCTGAAAGATTTGGAGTCAGCTTGGAAACTCACACATGCAACTGCGTGTTCCGTCTGGCTCCTCTTTCTGCAGAAAGTGTAATCTGAAATACTCAACCGAATTTCCAGTCTGAGTTCTTTGGTCGATGTTAGTAAGCAAATTTACCTAAACAATGACTATGTATGTAAGGTGGGGTTTTGGACTCTTCCCTTCTCTTGGGTATTCTTGTGCTACTACACATTTTCGCCTGCCCTCCCCCTGCCACATTTGCTGCCGAGTGTGGAGCCTCGGTCTGCCAGTGTGTTCGTGGCTCCCAGTGTCAGGGGCCTTAAGATTTTTGGCATCTGTCTTTGCTCCCGGTGGCTGCCTGGGCTCAGATGGGTCACCGGCGGGTAGGGATGGGTACCGAATTCGGTACTTTTTAAGGTACCGACCGAATTCCATAGTACCGACCGAGCACCGATTCACGTCATTTCAAACGGTGCCTCGTTTCGGTACCCGTCCTTCATAACGAGAACTTGCCAAGACAGCTGCGCATGCGCAAGAGCGTTTTGTTGTCGCTTGCTGTGAACCAGTTGTAAACAGAGCAGCATGGTAGAGAGAACGCACGCTAGCGCTTGGGTCCACTTCACTAAATGTGATGGGTAACTGGATGATGAAACCAGCGACAACTATGTAAGTGAGACATCCTCATCTTAATCTGCTCCGGTAGGTAAATATAATTAGCTTGATATGTTAGCTTCCGTTTCGCTAATGGTGCGTTCGCTTTCTCCTCGGAACTCCGAATTTCCGACTAGAAGAACATGAACGCGCTCTAAAGTTTGGCTTCACTTTACTAAATGTGACGGGTGAAGACGAAACCAGTGATGATCTAAGAGTGAGGCATCGTTTTAATCTGCTCCAGCAGCTAAATAAACTGTTTAAGATATCGTTAGCTTGATATGTTAGCTTCCATTGCTACCACTGTTATCAGCTAATGGTGCGTTCGCTTTCTCCTCGGAAATTCTAACTTCCCAGTAGGAAAAATCAAATGAAAAAAGATGGCAAAAGGAATGAAGATACACAGTAAATTTAGTTCACAGTAAAGATGTTTGCTTCAGTTTAATCATCAGCTTATAAAACTACAAGGACGATGTTAAAATACAAACAGTTGTATGTTATTTATCGTGATATTTATCAAATATTGTTATATTGAGAAAAATATATATTTAATTATAAAAGAGAATTAAAATAATAAACACTCAAAAGTATCGAAAATTGGTACTGTTAAGTACCGGTATCGATTCGTAGGTACCGGTAATTAGTACCGGATCGATTCAAATGTCAAAGGTACCCATCCCTACCGGCGGGGTTGGTCGCCCCTGGGTCCCGGGGCACTGGGTCCCAGGCTCAGTCGACTTAAGAGGTGGGGGGCTCTGGGCGGGCCTGGGGGGCTTGCCGTTGTTATCTCCTGGGACTCTGTCGGCTGCTGGTTGTGACCCCCGGGGCAGTCCTCTGCATCCCTTGAGCGGGGTTGGGGTTCTCTGGTGACAGTCTCCCTGGGGTCCCTGCACTCTGGGGCAGCTCCTGGAGCTCTGGGGCTTGGAGCTCCCTCCATCTTCCGCACATCTTTGGGGGCAGATCTGTGGCCCCTCACACTCACTATTGGACACTCTTATACAGAAATCTTACACATACAAGTGCGTGTACGCAAACAGGTGCTCACATGTTCCAAGCCATCTTCCAAGATGGCGGTGCACACGGCTGCAGCGGCTTACGGCTCAGTACTCCCTTTTTTTGTTTAGTTTGCTTAGTTTGTATGTCTTTCTTATTTTTTTCTGCACCATCGGCTCTACTTTCTAAGTTTTCTACACCCGCCAGAGCCTCATAGACATTGGTGATCAGCATCAAACATCTGTTTCACTGGACTTCCTTTGCACGCACAACATCCCAGATCATGTGGCGAGACCACCGGGCTCCCCGTGGACTGTTATCGGGACTAAGCGGAGGCGCAGACGAAGGGAAAGGAAGAAAAGCGGGGCCGCAGGTCCGGCATCATGCTGAGGCTAAAAAACAAACTACACAAGCCACCTCTGCCGAGCCTCTATCTCTCCAACGCTAAATCCCTCGTGCAAAAAACGGACTACCTGGAATTACAACTAGTGGGAAATCACTATGTTCGTGACTGCTGTGCCTTGATTATTACGGAAACCTGGCTTCACCCGGGAATACCCGATGCTAGCGTTCAGCTAGCAGGCCGCACTCTGCTTCGCTGGAACAGGAAAAAGGACTCCGGTAAGAGCAGAGGGGGAGGGCTCTGTATTTATGTGCATGAAAGCTGGTGTAACAATGGGACAATTATAAACAGTCACTGCTCCCCGAACCTCGAGTACATGTCGGTAAGATGCCTGCCTTTTTTTCTACAGAGAGAGCTAACAGTAGTGATCATCACCGCTGTGTACATCCCATCCGATGCCAACGTAAACACGGCGCTCTCTATCCTGCTGAACACCATTAACGAACAGCAGCGGGCCCACCCAGATGGGGTTCACATTATTGCAGGTGATTTTAACAAGGCCAACATAAAGACTGTACTCCCAAAGTTCTATCAGCATGTCAAATGTCCCACCAGAGGAGAAAACACTCTAGATCATGTTTACTCCAACATCAAGCATGCATATAGAGCCATACCCCTCCCCCACTTCGGTCAGTCCGACCATCTCTCTCTCCTGCTCTCCCCAGCCTACACCCCCCTCAGGCGCAGTGCCAGGCCCACCACAAGGACTGTTACAACCTGGCCAGAAAATGCTCTCAACAAATTACAAGACTGCTTCACAGAGACAGACTGGGACATATTTGAACACCAGGACCTAGAAACTTTCACAGGATCAGTACTGGACTACATCAAGTTCTGTACTGCAAATGTGACAGTGGACAAAAGCATTTGGGTTTTTCCAAATCAAAAACCCTGGATGACCAGCGAGGTCCGCTCACTCCTCAAAGCCCGTGATGCTGCCTTCAGGTCAGGTGACAGAGCTCTGTACAGGGCTGCTCGAGCTAACCTGAAAAGGGGGATAAAAAAAGCCGAGTCAGACCACAAAAGGAATATCGAGTCCCACCTGTCCAGCAACAACACACGAGAGGTATCGCAGGGAATGCGAGACATCATCAACCACAGAAGCAGCACTGCAAAAATTGAAAACCTGAGTATGCAGCTGGAAGAGGAAATAAACAGCTTCTTTGCCCGCTTTGAAACACCACAGCAGCAACACTCATCTGCTTCAGCCCTGCTACCATCCTCATCTGGTTCTTACACCGCTCCACTCACTGTAACGAAGCATGATGTCAGACGTGTGCTCCTAGCAGTGAACCCCAGGAAGGCGGCCGGTCCAGACGGAGTACCTGGCAAAGTACTAAGAGCATGCACACACCAGCTCAGCCTCATCTTCACCAGAATCTTCAACCTCTCACTGGATCAGGCAGCCATCCCGTCCTGTCTAAAATCAGCCACAATCATCCCAGTACCGAAGAAGTCTCCCATCTCCAGCTTAAATGATAACCGCCCTGCGGCCCTCACACCGGTAATCATAAAATGCTTTGAGAGACTTCTCCTTCAGCACATAAAGGATCACCTCCCCCCAGAATTCGACCCCCACCAGTTTGCATACCGTGCACACAGATCAACAGAAGACGCCATTGCCACAGCCCTCCACGCTGTGCTGAGTCACCTAGACCAGCGGCAGAGCTACGTCCGAATGCTCTTTGTGGACTACAGCTCAGCCTTTAATACAATCATCCCGGACATCCTCATCAACAAACTGGTCACTCTTGGCCTCCCTCCTCTCACATGTGCCAGGATAAAGGATTTCCTCACAAACCGGCCCCAGACTGTGAGACTCGGCCCTCATCTCTCCCCCACTCGCACACTGAGCACCGGCTCCCCACAGGGCTGTGTGCTGAGCCCCCTCCTGTATTCTCTCTCTTTTTTTTTTTTTTTACCATGTCCTGTCTGGCTGTGAAGCAAACAGAATTGATGTCTGAATGCTGGTAACAAGCCTTACAGATTTACACTCAGGTGGAGCATCAAAGCGTCTGCTTTTAATGTCACGCCGGATACTTAAAACTTTATTGTTATTGTTTTTGAATGCTTTGTAATTCCGACTAGACACGGAGACAGAGGTGAAAGAGAAAGGAAAATAGAAGGTGGGGAGAGAGGAGGGGGGGGGGGGGGTCCCACAAAAATAAACAATAATGAACAAGAGTCTTCTTCTAGACCTGCAGAAAAAGACAAAAAAAAAAAGCAAAAGGACAAAAAAAATGGGATACAACAACAATACAACAAGATCAAGCTATCACTGCGTCAACTTGATGAAGAAATATATAATCAACATTGCTTGACTGAAGAATCACGATAATAAATCACAGTGCATTAAGTGCCCACCATAGTCTTAAGACCTGTGTTTAACGTGCCCAAGCCCATACTTTTGAGAGCACCATGTGAGCACCTGTGTGTGTACACGTGCTTGTTTATGTAAGGTTTCTCTATAGGAGCGTCCAACAGAGTGTGAGGGACCACAGATCTGCCCCCCAAAGATGCACAGGAGACGGGGGGAGCTCCAAGTCCCAGAGATCCAGGCGCTGCCCCAGAACACAGGAACCCCAAGGAGACTGCAACTAGAAAGGCCACCGGCCCCCTAGAGAGGCACAGAGGATCGCCCCAGGGGGCCACAACCAGCAGCCGGCAGAGTCCCGGGAGACATCAGCGGCAAGCCCACAGGCCCGCCCGCAGCCTCCCACCCCCTAGCCGGCCGAGCCCGGGACCCAGCGACCCGGGACCCAGGGGCGACCACCCCCGCCGCGGACCCAGCAGAGCCCAGGGACCCAGACCCCACCAGGCAGCCACCGGGATCTATCAGGCAGATGCCAAAATCTTAAACCCCCTGGCCCGGTTGCCACGAACACTCAGGCAGACCAAGGCACAACCCCTCACACCAGGTGTGCAAGGGGGACGAATATCTATATCATCAAAAGAAGTTCCAGGAGAGGGGAGGAGTCAAAGGCCCCACCTGACATTTACAGTCATACACAAACACTAGAGCTGAGGAAAATAATCAAATAATCGATGCATCGGGATGCGGACATAAACGATTCTGCATCGTAGAGGAGTACGCCATAATCGATTATAGTGGAATGTAGTTTTGTTTTTTTAATGGCGGCACCAGCGCAGATCCAAATCTGTCAGAGTGAGTGTCCTCCACATTTACCAAGTGGTTCCGCCTTAATGTGGTACTGCAGGGCTGAGCCCTTGAGTTGTAACCTGAGACCGAACTGGAACCGAATCAGCCCGACCGGTTCTGTTGGATTTGGGCCGTGAATTATGTTAAAGGCACAGTACGCAGGATGACGCCGTCAGGGTGAGGAGGAGATTTTTAAATTCGAACGGCTGTTGCTCACTCCCCCGCCCTTCCTGAAAGAGCCGAAAGCCACACCTCCCAATGTGCACGCGCAGGAAAAGCAGAGTCAACATCGGAGCATTGCTTCTTGTAAAAGAGCTGAGCTAGTGTTAGCAATGGAGTTATCTGAGGTAAGAAAGTTGTATTTAACCAGCACATTAAAAACTTACTGTTTACAAAAGGCATTTTATAAAGAATATCTATAAATATGTTTATATTTTAAAATACCAGTAACAGTTGGCAATCTATATTGTAAATAAAATTAATCCTATCAAATTGTTAGCATTTATTAGGAGTAATTAGCTTATTTTTAATTGCTTTGCCATTCAGGATGGGATGAATATATCAAAGCATATAAATAATTTATGTGGAAATCATGAATAAACACTGCATTCTGTGTAGTCCTCCTATAATCATGGTTGTTTTCATAGGGTTTCTGGTTATTGTTGCTTTAGCCCACATTTTGACTAGATGTAAACCTGATGTGTCAAAATTGATTAATATGCAAGAGTACTTTTTATATTAGTATAATTTTTTTTATTCTAATACAATTTAGAGTTCAGTGATTGAGGAATCCTCTGAGGAAGAGTTTGAACCTCCTAATGCATCCTCAAGACGTGGTGCAAAAAGGAGATGCCCACCATCATCTCAAAGCCGTGGTGCATCCAGAGGCCGTGGTGTGTCTAGAGGCCGCGGTGCATCCAGAGGCCGAAGAAGTGCGAGACACTCAGCTGTGGACCTTGGAGATGAAGATCTCTCTCGAGTTCAGAATCTTCGTTCCGAGCGAATAGACTTTGAACGTGTAAGCATAACAAAATTACACTAAATGATCCTAAAAACTGTTGCTGTAGCATCTCTTTCCACTTTTGTAGCAACGCATACAGAACCTGAACCCTCAGCAGGCTATTGACATCCTTACCATGGTGCTGGACAGACACTGGTGTTCTCTTTGATGTACTTGCCCTCTCTGGTCCACCTGCCACAACACCTCAACATTCAATCAACCTTCATGGTGTGTATGCTCCCACTGCAGAGATATGCCAACTGATTTGGAAAAGAAATGCTGCCAACAGCCTCCCCAGACATGTATTTCAACTGTACCACACATGGAGGAGTTTATTTTTGCAAAATGGTGTTCTTCGCCTGGCCAGAACATTGTGGAATGAGTTTCGAGCAGTTTATGATGACCCGGACCCTGGTGAGGACAACAGACAGTTCCGCCATGCAGCTTACAGACAGTTTGTAGCATGGCAGCATGGAAAACTTGGTGGAGGACGCAGAGTAGAAATCCCAAGCTGCGTTGTCTGGAGGATAAGGGAAAAATTCCCTGACCCCAATGGTAACTACACTGGTTTTATCCCAAGACGATTGTAAATAAATGTATATATTTGATGTTTTACATAAGTTTGTTTTTTATATAGTTTTGTTTGATGCTCTAATAAAGTGTTATAAAGCATAACTCTCTGTTGCATTTGTAAAAATACCATAAGTGTTATAACTCCTGCACAACAACAAAAACTTATGTCTACCTCCAACATTTTACATACATTTTTAAATTATTAGTCCTTATTTCCCCAAAATATATCTTTATTTAAAAAAAATAAATAAATAAAACACAGGAAACAAAAATAAAGAAGGTTTTGGGTTTTCTCTTGCCTCCCCCAACACCTATGTCTGTGGCAAAGTTTTACCTGTAAATAAAACATAAACTCAATTAGCAATGGACTATTGTGTGGAAGATGTAAGGCAGATAATGTTTTATTTTACCATCACCGCGAGTCCGTAGGTGTTGTAGAAGTTCCTCTGTTGATGGTGCAGGGACTTCGGACAGCAAACCGTAACGCCTTGGATCCTCAGGCCTTAGCTTGTAGCGTCAAGGAAGATCTTTCTTGCTTGTCAAACGTTGGTTGACGATCATGGTTTGGATCTCTGGGATGTAGGAGTAGTCTTTTGCCACCTTCTCAGAATACAGCCTCCAGCATCTTGATTTTTTGTTGAATATTTTATGGTATCTGAAATGACACATGCCATAACTTGTAGTAGAGCCCTGCACTGAAGCCCTAGGCCCTCGGGCCGGCCCAGCCCGACGGCCCTCGGGCCGGGCTCCTTTATTTTTAAACGAATTCATTAAAAAAATTGAAACACTTAAACCAGGGGTCGGCAACCTGTTCCCATCAAAGAGCCATTATTACCCGTTTCCCAAAGTAAAGAAAACACTGGGAGCCACAGCAGCCGCGGCGTTGTGGGCGGGGCCTACCCTCAGACAGCTGAGAGCTGCTCACAACAGGTGACAGCAGCCAGTACCGGTCGCTCGTGTACGTCAAAGTTATCTTTCATAAGACGATAATCAATAAAATTATTTATATAAAGTGGATCCAGAAGTTGTAGCCTGTATGCCTACAATATTTTGATATTTTTCACCCTGTTGGTGGTGTTACTGAGCAGGTGCCACTTTCGTCATACGTTTCTTTTTAACACATGTTTAGACTGTTCAGAATACAAATCCAGGCTTTGTCACGTTTGATTGTTGTAATTAAACTTTGTAGGCGGCTCTCTGTGCTTGTAAAATAATGAATGGATATTTAAATAAAATGCTTTATATTTTACTGAATTAATTTTACATCGGTAAGTCAATTCTAAATGTAAAGATTGTCTGCGTAAACCTGAACAGGCCCAATCCAGTCTGACTGTGAGACCGGGTTGACGGGTCACGCTTGTGCGTAATCATAGGCGCTTCCTGAGCTGAAGAGGATGTGAGATTCTGGGCTTCTCCTCAGACAGTCTCCTGGATGTGTCGCCACATTGGAAACAGGAGCAAGCACTATTCAGCCAAAGTTTCATAATCAGGGAACATTTCCTAAGTGACAAGTCTCTCTGAGAGACCGGGTTTGGAAAACACTCGCTTCAGTGGGAGGAACCTTCCCGCATGCGCTCTGGTTCTGCAACGCTCTCCAAGCCAATCTCCACAACTTCAGCTCGCTGTGCACCATACGTACACGCTGACAGCGAGCTGCGCTGAGCAGTGTCCAGCTCAGATGTTCAGATGGGAATCTTTTCTTGGGTGATTTAGCTACATCTGCAATGTGCGTAGAATAAAATGTCAGTGCGTCTGCATGCGTCGGGGTAATTCTTTCTATTCTTTCTCCGTCAAAATAAACGGTCAAATACGGGAACTATCCGGTCAACACAAGCCCTGCTTTTAACTGTTCTGTTTTCTTGTGAAAATTGTTGGAAAGAGATCAAATTTAACTTGATTACCACCAGAGCCTGCGCCGTTATCTCTGTGACGGTAAATGAGGGAAAAACAAATTGATCGGATCCTGCACGTCTTTTAACACATTGGTCAGGATTGACGCACTTTGTTTTCATTTAGTTGGTTAAAAAAAAGTCGGGCTCGGGTCGGGCCAGAGAATCCTGAAAACCTTTTCGGACCGGGTCGGGCTGGGGCTCCACCCCCTCGGGCCGGGCCGGACACGGGCTCAGATTTTAGGCCCGTGCAGGGCTCTAACTTGTAGTATACAACAAATTAGCTGAAAAAGTGTTTTAAATTAAAAGTAAATTAGGTAAGCCTCACCTGGAGGCACTATTATTGAAAATGTGGTCTCGTCTCTCGTCTCGTCTTCCTCCGCTTATCCGGGTCCGGGTCGCGGGGGCAGCATCCCAACTAGGGAGCTCCAGGCCGTCCTCTCCCCGGCCTTGTCCACCAGCTCCTCCGGCAGGACCCCAAGGCGTTCCCGGACCAGATTGGAGATGTAACTTCTCCAACGTGTCCTGGGTCGACCCGGGGGCCTTCTGCCGGCAGGACATGCCCGAAACACCTCCCCAGGGAGGCGTCCAGGAGGCATCCTGACCAGATGCCCAAACCACCTCAACTGGCTCCTTTCGATCCGGAGGAGCAGCGGTTCTACTCCGAGTCCTTCCCGAATGTCCGAGCTCCTCACCCTATCTCTAAGGCTGAGCCCGGCCACCCTACGGAGGAAACTCATTTCGGCCGCTTGTATCCGCGATCTCGTTCTTTCGGTCATTACCCAAAGCTCATGACCATAGGTGAGGATTGGGACGTAGATCGACCGGTAAATCGAGAGCCTGGCTTTCTGGCTCAGCTCCCTCTTCCCCACGACAGATCGGCTCAGCGTCCGCATCACTGCAGACGCCGAACCAATCCGCCTGTCGATCTCCCGATCCCTCCTACCCTCACTCGTGAACAAGACCCCGAGATACTTAAACTCCTCCACTTGAGGTAGGACCTCTCCCCCGACCCGGAGGTGGCAAGCCACCCTTTTCCGGTCGAGAACCATGGTCTCAGATTTGGAGGTGCTGATCCTCATCCCAGCCGCTTCACATTCGGCCGCGAACCTACCCAGCAAGAGCTGAAGGTCAGAGCTGGATGAAGCTAGGAGGACCACATCATCCGCAAAAAGCAGAGACGAGATTCTCCTGCCACCAAACTCGACACACTCCACACCACGGCTGCGTCTAGAAATTCTGTCCATAAATGTGATGAACAGAACCGGTGACAAAGGGCAGCCCTGGCGGAGTTCAACCCTCACTGGGAACAGGTCCGACTTACTACCGGCTATGCGGACCAAACTCACGCTCCTCTGGTAAAGGGACTGAATGGCCCTTAACAGAAAGCCACCCACCCCATACTCCTGGAGCGTCCCCCACAGGGTGCCCCTGGGGACACGGTCATAAGCCTTCTCCAAATCCACAAAGCACATGTGGATTGGTTGGGCAAACTCCCATGCCCCCTCCATCACCCTTGCAAGGGTATAGAGCTGGTCCACAGTTCCACGGCCAGGACGAAAACCACATTGCTCCTCCTCTATCTGAGATTCAACTATCGATCGGACCCTCCTCTCCAGTACCTTGGAGTAGACCTTTCCAGGGAGGCTGAGGAGTGTGATCCCCCTATAGTTGGAACACACCCTCAGGTCACCCTTCTTAAAGATGGGGACCACCACCCCGGTCTGCCACTCCCTAGGAACTGCCCCCGATGACCACGCAATGTTGTAGAGACGTGTCAACCACAACAGCCCTACAACATCCATAGCCTTGAGATACCCAGGACGAACCTCATCCGCCCCCGGGGCTCCGCCGCTGTGTAGTTGTTTGACTACCTCAGCAACTTCTGCCCTCGAGATCGGACAGTCCATCCCCAGGCCTCCCAGCTCTGGTTCCTCCTCGGAATGCGCATTGGTGGGATTGAGGAGCTCCTCAAAGTATTCCTTCCACCGTCCGACTATAGCCTCAGTTGACGTCAGCAGCTCCCCATCCCCACTGTAAACAGTGTGAGCGAGTTGCTGCCTTCCTCTCCTGAGGCGCCGGACAGTTTGCCAGAACCTCTTTGGAGCCGATCGATAGTCTTTCTCCATGGCCTCACCAAACTCCTCCCACGCCCGAGATTTTGCCTCGGCAACTGCCACTGCTGCACCCCGCTTGGCTATCCGGTACCTGTCTGCTGCCTCCGGAGACCCACAGACCAGCCACGCCCTGTAGGCCTCCTTCTTCAGCCTGACGGCTCCCCGAACCTCTGGTGTCCACCAGCGGGTACGGGGGTTGCCACCACGACTGGCACCGGCCACCTTACGACCACAGCTAGCAACAGCCGCCTCGACAATCGCAGAGTGGAACAAGGCCCACTCGGACTCAATGTCCCCCACTGCTCTCGGGACGTGGTCAAAGCTCTGCCGGAGGTGGGAGTTGAAGACCGTCTTGACAGGTTCTTCTGCCAGGCGTTCCCAGCAGACCCTCACTATGCGTTTGGGTCTGCCAGGTCTACGCGGCATGTTCCCTTGCCATCTGATCCAACTCACCACCAGGTGGTGATCAGTTGACAGCTCCGCCCCTCTCTTCACTCGGGTGTCCAAAACATACCGTCGCAGGTCAGATGATACGACTACAAAATCTATCATCGACCTGTGACCTAGGCTGCCCTGGTACCAAGTGTACCGGTGGGCATCCTTATGTTCGAACATGGTGTTCGTTATGGCCAAACTGCGGCTTGCACAGAAGTCCAATAACAAAACACCGCTCGAGTTCTGATCAGGTGGGCCGTTCCTCCCAATCACACCCCTCCAGGTCAAGCTGTCATTGCCCACGTGAGCATTGAAGTCCCCCAGCAGGACAATGGAGTCCCCTGATGGAGCACTATCTAGCACTCGTCCCAGGGACTCCAAAAAGGGTGGGTACTCTGAACTGATATTTGGCCCATACGCACAAACAACAGTCAGGACCCGTTCCCCGACCCGAAGGCGCAAGGAAGCTACCCTCTTGTCCCCCGGGGTAAACCCCAACACACAGGCAGAGAGTCTCGGGGCTAACAAAAAGCCAACCCCAGCCCTCCGCCTCTCACCCGGAGCAACTCCAGCAAAGTAGAGTGTCCAACCCCTCTCCAGGTCTTGGGTTCCAGAGCCAATGCAATGTGTCGAGGTGAGTCCGACTATATCTAGCCGGTACCGCTCAACCTCTGCCACAAGCTCCGGCTCCTTCCCCGCCAGCGAGGTGACGTTCCATGTCCCAAAAACTAGTTTCCTTGTCCGGGGATTGGACCGCCAAGGCTCCCGCCTTGGTCTGCCACCCGATTCACATTGCACCGGACCCTTCATGTTCCTCCTGCGGGTGGTGGGTCCACAGTTGGACGAGCCCATGTATCCGGTTCGGGCTGGGCCCGGCCGGGCCCCATGGGCGAAAGCCCGGCCACCAGGCGCTCGCTCACGGGCCCCAACCCCAGGCCTGGCTCCAGGGTGGGACCCCGGTAACCCTCCGGGCCGGGTACTCCGACTCTTCGTTTTCACCGCCATGAAAGATCCTTCGAACCGTTCTTTGTCTCACCCTTCACCTAAGACCAATTTGTCATGGGAGACCCTACCAGGGGCACTAAGTGCCCCAGACAACATAGCTCCTAGGATCATTAGGGCACTCAAACTCCTCCACCACGATAAGGTGACGGTTCAAGGAGGAGTATGAAAATGTGGTGTTTCTGTTATTCTACAGTTGGCCACCTGACAGCATGTTGTTAAACCAATATGTAGCAGTTAGGAGCGTTGTGGTTGTTCATCTGAGGAAGTTGTTAATAAAAAATGAATCATGAATTCATGAGTGTATGTTTCATTTAAAATATAAATAAATAAATACATACTGTATCGATCCATCTGCTCTCCTCTTCACTTCTCGATGTGAGTGGTGTTTGTAGTCCAGTGCAGCAAGCAGTATCCGTGCCTCGTAAACAGGTGGGATGTAACTGAATCTTTTGCTTGCATACATTAGGAGATGGTTGTGAAACGCCTCCAAATTTGCTGTAGATCTAAAACAAGAATTTAACATTTAGAACAATTATATTATTATTTATAGCTATAATTAAATACAGTACCTGAATTTCAAATATTTTGGGACTTCTTTCAGCCAGCGTTCACTGAGAATGATGTCACTGAGGGCTTTGTGAGGAGTGGAGCCTTTCTGAATCCAGTCTTTCTCTCTGTCACTTAGTAAAGGATCATGCTGACAAGCATCCAGAGACCACTCATGTTCTCCAGTAACATGATGGAGTAGACCGATCCACATGTCCTAAAAGACATGTGGCGATTAGTTACATTCACTTTTTTTTATATGAAAATACAAATAATGTACTTACAAAAAACTCATCATAAGTGTTCGCCGACTTGCAGCAAAACCAAAAATGGTTACAGATATCTTTGTTCCACTGTAATAAAATGGAACATCCCCTTTGCTGACCTGCCTGTTAAAAAATATATATAAAGTCCATCAAAAGCATCGTTATAGTTATTATATATTATAATTGCCACGTACCGCATGTATTTTTTTGCTCAGGTTCTTTGCACCATGCCACATGTCATAGGTGTGCTCAATTCCACTGTCTTTGTACTTTCCTTTTCCTGACACAGATAAAATGAACTGTAAGGCAATACTAATAATGGTTAAAGATGTGTGTTTTGTGCAAAACTGTGTTATACTTACGGAAAAGAGCAGATATTTGTGAATGGGCATCAGTGCAAACTTCTGATAGTTTCACTTCTTGGCTAACCTTGTCAACACTTCTGATGAAAGCCTCCCTCTCCATTATTGTAGAACTCCTCTGAGTTTCTCTCTTATCGACGTTTTCAATGGAGAGTATTTTTCTGGTATCATTGTCCATCAAAGTGTATGTACAGTACTGTGCGCAGAAGCCAGGACTATCCATTCTCCCATCACCTGTTGGAGCAGATTTTAGGCATAACTATTTGTTGTTTAAAATATTGCATAACATTTATTACATAGATAAAAATACCAACACACCTAGTGCAACAACATGTCCTCTTTCTTTCACCTCAGAAATAATATCTGTCCTTTTTTCAGTCCAGTATTCTTTTATGGTGTCCACACAATATGCATTTTGGACTGAAAAAAAAAGTGTTGCGGGTCACCATGCCCATATTCATGTATTTAAACATGAGGGCAATTTTTGCAAAATTGTTGCCTGACAGGAGTATATTTGAAGAGAGCATAAAATCTCCAGCTTGCATCCCAAATTTGAACGTTGGCTGAGAATTCCACTGCCAAACAACGTGGCTCTTGGGACAACACTGTAAAAGACAGAAATATTAGCAAATATCTTGGAAGGTTTAGGTTGAAGGATTGTTATGTACAAGAACATACCCATTTGACAATCATAGCTGTTCCTCGTGAAGAAATGTTGATAATGAATGGTGCAGAGGCACCACATTCCTCAGATGTTTGTGGGTCTTTCTCCGTACATACTTGGACTGGCAAGAGAAGGAACTCTGCAAGCTGCTGCATACACTTGTGGTACACCATGGAAACCGGTTGACCAATTATGTCTCCAGGAATGTTGACCACTACTTTATCTGGTACAGGTGTTGCATCAGTTGCTTCTGGGATATTACAGTCATGAACTGTATCCACAATGTTAATTTCTTGCAGAGTCTCAAGTTGTAATGTTTTTTGTAATGCCGCTCCAGTCCTGTGAACAAAAGCTTTTTATTAACTATGCGCTATTGCAGTTTTATAGAATGTTAAACGAAAGGAATTACCTTATGTGTGTATAAGGTGTGTAGTCCTCATCACCGCTGTCATCAGTACCGCTGTCCATCTCGATGGTTTTGTCCTCCTCTGAAGACGAATCAACTTCTGGCTCTCTGTTTGGTGACCATGTGTCATCTGATGAATCTATCCTGAATATACGCAGTATAAAGTTTTTAGTATGGAAAATTAGACACATTTTATTAACATCTGAATACTTACACAGAGTTTTGAATATTGTTGAACTCTTCCTCATCAATGTTTGCTTCAATTCCCACACAAGATAACCCTAAAAAAATAATTATTGTTTACTTTTCCTGACAAATGTGACAGCCAAATACAGATACAACCTTGTACTTACATTTGTGAAGATCCTTCTTTTTTAGTTTCACCTTGTTCCATCACCTCCTCCAAATTATCATCCCTATGAAAATAAAATACAAGCACATGATTAGAATCAATACATATTTTATCATTTTGAAGGTAATAGAGCTTGTCTATTGGCCGTCATCATCACCCTCTCCTCATTTTTCTCCCTCTACTTATTACGCATTTCTCTGTGGATCCACTGAATTCCTTCTTTACAAATAATTTCCTGTCTCTCTCTTTACATTTTAAAAACACAATTGCATTATTTTTTTCTCATAAACTTTGAAATAAAAATATAATTTTTTAAAATATGTTTAATTTTGTTGTTGTGAAGTGCCTCAAGAGTTTTATCTTGAGAGGTGCTATATAAAATGTAGTTTTACTATTTATTTCTATACATTTTCTATAGTCATTCATTATCCCATTTCTAGAATTTTTTCAAAATAATCCACCACTAACTTAAAACAAACAGAGGCAAAATTATAATATTCCTGGTAGAGGTTTATAGGCAGCTATTTACCTTTCAGATGACTCTCCATGAATGCTAGACAGAGCTGGCACTGGTGTTGGAGAAATAAACAGTTGGCGCTTCAATGGTGTAGATGTTGATGCCTCATATTTGGACTGATGACTGTCAAAAACAAAGCCCAAAAATTAGTGATCACAAGCTAAACAAGTCTCCCCAGCCTTCACAGATTTTTGCACGAGCTGATTATCATTCCTTTTATTTTAATATGGAGTTTTCACGTAGGTAAGACCACAAACTCAGACAGTAATCTGTACACGTGGCCCACCCAGGTTAGCACAATATGTCCTTCGGTGCTAATGGAAACGTAAGGTTTTGGATACGTTCCTGATCAATCACACCTAATTCTAACTGCTGAATCATCTCCTCAGACTTCTACAAGTGCTACATGAGCTGCTGATTACTCATTTTAATCAAACACGCAGCTCAGGAAAGTGTAAACATCTAATTCAGCATTCAAGATGCTAACTGAACCCTGCTAACGGGGAAGTTATAAACAAGAGCTTAAAACAATACAATGATATGGCCTATAGTTAAACGCCACACTAATCATTAGCTCCCATATAAAAAAAACTAAAATCCCCTTTCGTTACTCAAACTTCTTCAAAAAATAGCATTAATTGTTCGACTAGCATCGATTCATGTCGACTTAGCATTCAAGCTAATGCTACATTAGCCAATAGGACACCAAGCATACAAAGCTGGTTTGCTCTATTACTTCTTTCAGTGAAAGAAAGATTTGAAGTAAATGTATCCGAAAAACAATAAATAACTTACCTGTCTAAAAGATACTTTGCCAACTCTTCATCCGTTTTCAGGCCGTGTAGATCACGAAAATCTCTCCACCGTTTAAAACAATCTCCAATGTTAATTCTACTCAACTGTCTCAAACGTCTTACAACCACTTTTGAAGAAGGGCTTTTAAACTTTTTAAATGTTTTTTGAGATGTGGAAGGCAGTCGAGGAATCGGTAATTTGGGGTTTTGTTGCTCCATGTTTCTGCAGTAAGCCGAGTGAGGCGCGTGACACTGTTGTGCACGCTGAGATCTAATGCTCGTGCTCGATGACTGACAGCTGCCCCCTGGTGGAAACGCAGCGCTATTGGTCAACGCGTTAGGCTTGCAGAAATATTGGCTGAGCTCTACAGGGCAGGGGAGGGACTTAGGAGAAAATTGAAATATTAAATATTATTTACTTTTTTTAATAAAATTGGGTCAGATGGTCAAAATAAAACATTTTTAAAGTTATTCTACATTTAAATCTTGCAGACTGTGCCTTTAACTGAGCGGGTTGTCATGCGGCGCGCTCCGCTCGCACAGCAACTGAGAGGGGGGAGGGGGGGGGGACTGCTCACACGAGAGGATCGGAGGACGCCCCTCCAAACTGATGCTCCAAACACGCATTATTATTTTCATAATTTAATTATTATTTCTCCTGGAAGCGCTCAGTCAGACTGCTTGTTGTAATGTAGGGAGATCCGGTCTTGGGGAGGGGGCGGGGTCAATGACGGCGGCTGCAGCGTGATCGTCTGTATTTTATTTTGGGACACGGAGAAATTAAAAGGAGAGAGAAATAGAAGAAAGAAGTTCTTGTTCCACTTTATTCTTTTGTTTCATGATGATAAACTGATGTTAAATTCTATTTTAAAAAACTGGGAGGAAGCTTTGGTTCATTTTAAGTTACAGGAGGTCTTGTCTCTATCTGCTCCTCCGAATGGACATGAGGGTTACATGGTGAGGGTCACACAGGACAGGTCAGTGGAAAGGTTTGTAGTTAGCTGGTTAGTGAAGGAGATCCATCACCTGGGTAATTTAATCCTAATCCAGCCCACAGCCTTCTGCTGGTGTTATTATCAGAAAGAATAAAACACACATCTTAAATATTATTGGAAGTGTAGAATTTGTTTTATGTTTTATTTTCTGCATCAAACAGAACTTGATTCATTCTCCAACATTTCAGAAACGAACCACTGGGTTCAAATAAAATAAACTAAGTCAAACATTTCATTTGGTGTTATTTCTGACACCCTTCAACTGTGGCATGAATATCTGACTCTAGAGCTGCTCAGAGACATTAAACACTCATATATGAACCCATTATTGTATCTGATTATTACATTATGTTGTGTCCTGTGGGTTTTCAGTACTTTTTTAGATTTTGTGAGATTTTGTAAAGCGTGTTTTCTCAGCTTGAGGCGTGGTGTTGAAAGAGGAAACAGATGTTTTGCTTTGTTAAATCTTCTTAAATGTTTAAAATGTTTTGTCCTAACCTGTTGTGAATGGAGAGCTTTTGAGGGCTGACAGGTTGTATCAATTACGTTTTTGATTTAAAAAAAAGCAATTATCTGACATGTTCTATTTATCGATGAAAACAAATCAATATGAAATAATCGTGATGCATCGGGATATCGAATCAAATTGAATCGTTGACCCAATAATCGTAATCGAATCGAATTGGGAGACAAGTGAAGATTCACACCTCTAGCAAACACAGTCACACACTCCCTCCCTCATGCTCACACATGCACATACAACCCAAGACTTACAAAAATGCACGCCGGACACCCACTCATGCTCTCCATACACACCCTATTCACTCTGGTCCCGGTACTGCTGCACATGGGGTACAACCGTCACCGGTAACCAGAGTTTGACCCTTTCTGCTGGGGTGCTGATGAACAGGCTCCCCCGCCCAAAGCTGAGCACAGCAACCTACCACCCCAGACCCCAACCAGATGGCCAGATCTCCCTCCTAGCCTCCAGCCCCAGGAAGCCTAGCAACAACAGAAGTGGCTAAGACCCCTAGTCTCCCTCCGCCTGCTCCAATATAGTGTTGTGTGATTATGAGCTGTATTCCATGGCTGTGGTGAGCGGGCAGTGTGGGCATCATCCGGCCTATGCCAGCTGATGCCACCGCACCACCCCACTTACACCCTCAGCCCTCTGTGTCTAAAGCCCCATTCCCACCTGTACCGGGTCGGCCCGGGCCGGGTAGCCCCAGTCGGCCCCAGCTTGGCCCGGTTGATTCCACACATCCTTGCCTTAAGCCCATGTGGGCTGATTCTACCCACCAACCAGAGGCTTGCTCTAATGGAAGGTGTGAATGGGCTGATTCTACCCACCAATCAGAGGCTTGCTCTAATGGAAGGTGTGAATGGGCTGATTCTACCCACCAATCAGAGGCTTGCTCTAATGGAAGGTGTGAATTTGCTGTCAGCAGTGGGCGTGTTGGCCCTGGTCGGCCTGAAGCAGTACCCCTCGGGAAGAGGGCCGAGAATGAGCCTTGGTTGGCCCGGGAAAATTCCAGGCCACCCAGATATGTAAACAACCTACGCTACCTGGCCCGGGCCGACCCGGTACAGGTGGGAATGGGGCTTAAGTGCGGTTTAAAATTGGAAGTGGGCACCGGCACCCGGGAGGAGGCTGAGATATCCCCCTGCCAAATGCCGTTGAATGTGCTCACTCCCAAGGCCCTAAGTGTGTGTTTGTGTGGAATGTCGTCAGTGGAAGTGTATAAGGTGCAAATAAAGTTGGGGGGCAGGTTGCCACAGGAATGCGGAAATGGGATCCATACCCGCACTCCCTGACTTGCCCACCCCCCAAGGTCCTATGTGTATGTTTGTGTGATGATGTGAGGGAGCAGGAGGAGAGAAATATGCGGGGATGGGGAGGAATGGCTGGTTGGGCTTAGCCCTCCAGGGAGCCAGCTCCCCTACTGGCCCCAATAGGCACCTCTGTTGTCAAACTGCCACCCAGGGCATGGAGACCCCAGCACATCCTGCCAGGGCCCAAAGCAGCAGCATTACAGAGCCTCACGGAGTCCGAGGGCACCAACCCAGCCCCACCCCAGCAGAATATCTATGCCCATCCCTGCATTTGCACAACTTCCAGAATATATAAGACATGGGACATCCAGGTAAGGTTGGGTCCTCCCCCTCCAGGACCTCCCCCTCCCCTGTGATGGAACGGCAGAGGAGCCAAGGTCTACCTGAGGCCCCCGAACCCGGGCCAGGCACTGCTGCATGTTCCTGCCTTCTTCCCGGCAGCATACATATTAGGACCCGACCCCCAAGGCCCCGCCCAGATCCCCACACGTGGCCGACCACCCCCAAACCCCGAGCCCCTAGGCCCCCACCCAGACCCGCCCAGGGGCAATGCAGCAGCCAGGCAATGACCCATGGTCACCGCCAAGATCCCCAAGGGGCCCCACTCACAACCGCCAGCAGTCAACCCCCCAAGGCAACCCAAGCACCTCCAGAGGGGGGGCAACGGCCCCCGAGTCCCAGACACCCCCAGTGAACCCACCTCCAGGGAACATCCGGGTACTCCAAACTCAGACCCCCCCCACACACACACCATCCCGCAGAACAACATCAACGGCCCCCCACCCTTGCTATGTGATGGAACCGATCAAAGGAGCCCAGAGAGATTGATCTGAAGTGGAAGCAGAGGCTATATCAAGTGTAATATGATCTAACAAAATATTTCTATACTGGTTAATGCAAAGAGTTTCTCTATTTTTCCAATTCAAGAGGATAGTTTTCTTAGCGATGCATATGGCAGTCAGAACCACGTGAACCACAGATGTTTCAATCGGGACATCGTCCAGAATTCCCAGTAAACAAAGAGATGGGGTGGTTGGGATATGACATTTCAGAGACTTTGACAGGTCTTCACACACTCTACCCCAAAATTCCTGGACAGGTGGACAGGACCACAGTGCATGAATGTAATTGTCAGGAATGTTGTTTGTGCAGTGTGTACAGGTGTCAGATGACACAAACCCTATCTTGAACATCCGATGACCTGCATAGTGTACTCTGTGTAGAATTTTGTACTGAATTAATTGGAAATTGGAGTGTCTGATCATTTTAAAAGTTTTTAAACAAGTTTGGGACCAGAAGTTCTGGTCAAAGCTAACTGATAGATCCACCTCCCATTTTTCAATAGGGATTACTATTCTATTGTCTATTTTGGACAGTGTCTTATAGGGCTGATCGATTATGGCAAAAATAATAATCACGATTATGGTGACTGAAATTGAGATCACGATTATTTAGGACGATTTTTCTATTTATGTTGATTTTATTTGTTTTTATTCAGTCATAAAATGGCTCAGGGCACAATTAGGACAAAAATAAAAAAGAAACAAGATGATCACTAAAATAACTCCTGATTCCCAGTATAAAAAGACCAATATACTTATAGCTCATAGTTTATGACCCAAGGGCTATAGACCTTGGTTTAACTCATTTAAGTCTAACCAGTACAGACCCAAATACCAATATCTTGCAAATACTGACAGCAAGAATTATACAGTGGCATTTATAACAAATAAATGCAAATAAATTGATGTTCACAAAATGTTGCATAACATTTATTGAAGTTGTGTCAAGGTGCTGTAGGAGAATACACTAGCACCGTGTCCTCAGAGAGATTAGTTATTTATCAGCATGAGGAACTTACTTCTATCTATTTCTACCTTATTTATAAACTATTTATTTACAGGTCCATCAGTTAATGTAATAAATGTCCCAACCACAGCTGCACCCCCCACCCCGATCTCACAGCAATCGGGGCAAGCTGCACGTGTGTTTAGCACGTGCACATTTAGCCGTTTTTAGCGGCTCAGGAGTCCGCAGGTGCGGTGTGTGTGTCACTCACTCTGGTTACTCCAACAGGGAGCCGGCTCCGTGAGCTGTTTCTTTAGCGACCGACACATCACTACATCATTCCCTTTCCTAATGTCCTGAAGAACGGTCCGGAGTGCAGGCGGAGTGTTTAGCTAACCTGCAGGAAACGTCGACGACAGTTATCCAGAAAGTAGCTAAGGGTTACCAGAGATGTTTCTGAGGTGCTCGCTAGGTACTTTTAAGATTTAAAAAGTCAAGAAGGGGGTCTGAGAAGCTGTTAGAAATAATGTCAGTCGCCAAGTTGGCAACACCCTAGGACAGGGGTGTCAAACTCATTTTAGCTCAGGGGCCACATTGAGGGAAATCTTGTCCCAAGTGGGCCGGACCGGTAAATTCAAAAAAAAAAAACCTTCAGATTGTTTTCTTTGTTTTAATACAATCAATATAAAACAAGGTTGGAGCCTGAGAACAGTGTAGTACAAGTACAACACCTGAAGTGTACTTGAAAATTTGAAAAAATAAAAATAAAAATCAACAAATAAAAAAAACGTTCCTTAGTGATTCAAAGAGCTTACAGATGACATGGCAAGATCAGTTTCATGCAGCATTTAAAGTATATTTGACTCATTTTACTTTACATCTTTTAGCTTTCACCAGTGCATCAATATCAGAAGTCACATCCTGAGTGGCAGCCAACTTCAGGATGTGAATCAAGTTCTTGTGTGAGCCTTGAGCGCAGCTTTGTTTTATTTATACTCATTACAGAGAAACCTTGCTCACAATGATAAGTTTATTTTCACTCTACATGGTAAAGTATGAAAATAAAGTTTACACAACCATCTCGCGGGCCGGATTTAACCCGCTTGCGGGCCGGATCCGGCCCGCGGGCCGCATGTTTGACACCCCTGCCCTAGGAGGAGCGCTTCATTTGCAACTCAGGGCAGCGCAAGTGAGAGGAGCAAATAATCTGCTTGTTTTGTTTTTTATAATCGTTCAAAACTCAGATCGTAATCGTGATTAAAATTCGATTAATTGAGCAGCCCTAGTGTCTTATGTACTTTAGACAGTAGTTTGGGGGGTTTGAGATTATAGAAGTCTAATACCCTTGGTGGTGTTTGTAATTCTATTTTATTGAGCTTAAATTTTTGTTTGACTACAGATTTAATTTGGTGGTATTCTAAAAAGCTATTCTTATCTATTCCAAATTGGGAGACTATTCTATTAAATGGGATGAAGTCCAATCCTTCATATATGTGTTCCACGTATAGGATTCCTTTATTTTTCCAGTCCGGAAGGTTACTCATTTTATTATTTTGCAAAATATCAGGATTATTCCAGATAGGTGTGCGTCTGCATGGTACTAGTGAAGACGCTGTCATTTTAAGATACTCCCACCATGCCGTCAGAGGTGCTGATACTAATACTTTTGAAGCCTTCATGTTTTCTTATGCTTGAGCTAATAAATGGTAAGTCTGAAAGCTCTATCGTATTGCAAAGTGTCTGTTCTATATCTAACCAGGACTCATCTAGTGGGTTATCTTGCAACCATCTTGGTATATATTGCAGCCTGTTGGCTAAGAAATAATAATAAAAGTTGGGTACATCCAGTCCTTCCCTGTCTTTGGTCTTCTGAAGCGTTTTTAAGCTAATTCGTGGAGGTTTATCCTGCCAAATGAATTTGGTAATTGAGGAGTCCAGAGATTTAAACCAGTCAGCTGGTGGTTTGTTTGGGATCATTGAAAATAAGTAATTTATTCTGGGTAAGACCATCATTTTAATTGTAGCAACTCTCCCCATGAGTGATATTGGTAAGGATTTTCATCTTGCAAGATCATCCTCCACTTTCTTTAAAAGTGGGATGTAGTTTAATTTGGTTAGATCTGCTAACTTGGGAGAGACATTAATTCCCAGGTATGTGATATTCCCTGACTCCAATTGTTAGTGCTGTGTTGAAAAAAATTGATCCTCCGATTCTGAATCGATTCTTATATAAATTCATGAAGATCGATTCATACGTCCAAAGATCAATTTAACCATTTAACAGTGTCTGGCTCTTGTACAGCTAAAATATAAAAGAAGTTCAGAGGCGTGGGTGATGATAAAGGGTTAATATGGTGCAGCGACTTTCTCCCGCCCACCGTCATGTGACTGAATTCACGCATGCGTGCTAGGTGGGAAGATTTTTTTAAATGGCGTCGGATACTAGCAGCGACGTTAGCCATGTGCTCGGTTTGAAAACACCAAAAACTCTTAAAGCTGCAGTCTGGCAGCATTTTGGTTTCAGAACTGACAAAGAGAAAGGTCAGTTTGACAAAAGCAAAGTGATTTGCAAGGCATGCCAAATGGAGGTGAAATATTGCGGAAATACAACCAATCTCAACAATCACATTTTGCGACATGACCAAGATCTTGCGTGCAAGCCGTCCACTGGTCTGCAGCAGATGAAATTCAAGGAATCAATACAACTACCGGCTAATTCTACACGTTCTCACAAAATAATTGAGGCAATAGCGGGCTTCATTTGCAAGGATATGCGCCCATATTCTGTCGTTGGAAACGAGGGCTTCAAGCGGCTAATGAAAGTAGCAGAGCCGCAATATGTTATGGTTTCTCGCAAACGTCTTTCAGAAGAAGTCATCCCAAACATGTACCAGTCGGTGAAAGAAAATGTGAAAAGTAAGCTTCAGTCAGCAGAGAGAGTGGGCATTACAACGGATACCTGGACATCTGTGGCTACGGAATCGTACATGAGTTTGATGGCACACTACATTGACGAGGAGTGGAACCTCAACTCGTACGTATTACAGACCACAGAAGTTGAAACTGACCATCGTTCTGCCAGTCTAGCAGAAATGTTGACCGCAGCGATAGAGAAGTGGGGGCTGATGAGCAAAGATCCTGCTATGGTGACCGACAATGCGGCTAATATGATTCGTGCTGTTGAGATGATGGGGTTAACACACATTGGCTGTTTTTCACACATCATAAACCTCGCCTCACAAACCGGTCTCAAACTCCCAAATATTGCACGCCTGCTTGGGAGAGTGAGGCACATTGTAACGTTCTTCCATCGCAGCACAACAGCCAGCCGCATCTTGAAAGAAAAGCAGAAACTATTGCAGCTTAAACAACACAAGCTCACAATTGATGTTGTGACCAGATGGAATAGTGCACTGGAAATGCTCGAACGTTTTCTGGAGCAGCAGCCTGCTATCTCTGAAGTCCGCAGAAATGAAAAAGATTTGTGCAGCCTGAAAGAGGAAGACATAACTGATGCTGAAGATGTGGTCAGAGCTCTGAAGCCAATGAAAAAAGCTACTGAAGTCATGTCAGAAGAAAAGTCACCAACTCTCTCAGTGATGGCACCCCTGCATGCTCTGCTGCTGAAGGA